AATTGAGTGAGGGTGTTCAGCAGTAAATCGACTTCTGTGTGATGTTTTGTTCAGCTTCATCAAAGAAAATAGTTGTTCACACACGTATGTGCTGCCAAACTTTCGACAACGTTTGAGCAGCCTGGATGCGCAGCGGGACCACTGTGTCGGGGAGGAAACCGTCAAACTGCGCAGCACGCACTGCCGTATCTTTGCCGAAACACTGCAATTGAGTTTCTGCTCATGCTCACGTTTAAAAAGAGTTGCTTTTTTTCGGGGTAAACTTCGTCACACACTTTAAGTATACCGTTTTTAATGAAATCCCCCTTCCCCCTCCATGTCCATGTTCTTGTTTGCGTGGTTCGTTTCATGATGTCGTCTCAGATTACACTATTTCAATCGCGCCACACTTTCTCAGCACAGAAGACACACAGGTTTTCCAGCTACGTCCATGAACATGTACTTCGACTCTCACCTTGTTTGAAACCCGCGGTTCTCAGTGTCCACCTTCCGTTTTGCCATTTTTGATGGGTATCTGAAAGCTAATGTCACTGTTATGGGAACGACTGCTAGACTAATAAATATTTAAATAAAGCGGCCGACTGCTTGGCGCGTCACCGTTGCATTGTGGGAAATGTAGTATTGGTGCGTGTAAAAGATCTGCGGGCTCTCGGCTTGCTGCGGTCCGCGGGCCGGTTCTAATAATAAATCAATATCATCCCAGGGGCCACTGAAAACATTCTCGCGGGCCGGATTTGGCCCACGGGCCGGCACTTTGACATATGTGGTGTAAACCAAAGTTGTGGGATTAAGTCGCAGTCCTGGAAATTGATTTTTTTTTCCTATGATGTTTTACCTTACTGGTGAATGTACAGTAATTGGTAGCTTAATGATATAGCAATCCTGTCATTCCTGACTGAAAATAGTGGGTTTTCTTATGTCTCATTATCATGAATACTACCTTTACATGGAAAATGCATTGCACAACATTTGAGGAGGAAAAATACATTGTTTTATGCATGACGACCCTTTGCACTGAAAAATGTAGTCAAAGCTTCAAAGCTTTTGTTTTTGAACAATGGCGCTTTCATATTTACATTTGAGCATACTTCATACACATCGGTTCAATGAAAAAAAACCCAACATACTGTATACACATACAGTATTTTGTCCATACTAAAAATGTCATTTTTGTCTCAAGTCTGGTTAAGAAGTGCATGGTCTTAGATGCCCCCTTCCTTCATTAATCTTGACCATCCCTCTTTTAGACGATTCAATGCTTCCAACTTTCTGGGAACAGTTTTAAAATGACCTTTTTTTCCAGCATGAATCTTACACTAGATAGCTAGACATAGGATAAATGGAATGAGTGTCCAAATGCAAGATCTAGAGCGCCAGAAGATGGTGTCTCGATCGTGCGTTCAAGCCTTCGAGTGATTTTTTTTTTTTTTTTTTGGCTAAACAACATGAACTTAACTGAACACACCAGTTTGTGTGCGAGCAAGTGCCTACATTTCATTCGAGCCCAAGCCTGTTAAGGCCATCACTATGACATATCACCTGCTGTCTTGGACACGGCCCCTCAGGCTGCGTTTCATCAGCTTGGTCAGCACATTAAAGGCTCTCTGTCGCACTTGCCCTCGCACTCTCTCTCTTGCTCTCTCTTCCCCTCTTCTTTTCTCTCTCTCTCTCTCTCTCTCTCTTTCTCTCTCTCTCTCGCTCTCTCGCTCTCTTGCTCTTTGCTCTCTGTTTTAACTCTTTCTCACTCTCTCGCTCCCTCTCCTTCCCCCCTTTCTCTCTCCCTCTGTTTTTCTCTCCTCACACTCTCACTCCCTCTCCTTGTCTCGTTCGCTCTCTTTCTCTCTTTCTATATTTTCTGTTTTTCTCTCTCGCTCTCTTGCTCATTCTCCTTTGCCTACTCGCTCACTCTCAGTCTCTCATTCTCCCAGTCACTACCCTGCATCATCCAGAGGTCTATAGAATATTTTAGTTGGGTTGTTTAGCAAAATGAGGAAAAATGTGAAGAAAAACTCGACAAACTACAACCACAATGATAAAAGTATTGTTGAATTTATACCGTTCTGACATCATATTACTCATTGCTCTACAAAAACATTTGATAGAAGTTATGTTGGATCTTATTTGATTGGTGTAACGAACAAAGTCTTGGATGAGAGTGTGTGAGTGAATTGCCACCTTTTGGCGTTTTTAACCATCTTCTCGAAGTTCACTAGCACCATAATGCTTTAAACAGCTGCGAGCGTGTAAATGTTGTTTGATACTTTCCGACGAACAGACCTTTTATTAGAGATGTGAGTGCTATAAGAGTGATTTAAAGTTTGCATTTCATCACTACACTATGTCAGTGTGGGTGTTTGTGTCATCTTGGTACCTGCTGTATTTCCTCCAAATGTGTCGCTGTCAAATAAATTACATCATCCGGCTGCTCCGCGTTGTGGAGATGCGCTCTTTATGCTACTGAGATGTTTAAATCGCAGCGTAAATTCTCAGCCTGCTCTGACATCTGCAATGAATCAAGACAACTTTGTTGGCCATCCCAAAAAGAAACCAAACAAAAAATAAAAATAACAGATGTCCTCTGCCATCACATGGGCCGCATTCAAGCTGGGGTTTGCAAAAATGATGTCATTTCCTTTTTGCTTATTTTGGCAGATTTCACCGATGGTGGGAAAAAAAATGCTGCACAAGAGAGAGCTTATGAGCGCAGAAAGAAAAAGTTTTCAAGCAGCAATCTTCTGTCAAACAAACTTATGCCTGCTTTCTGCTTTTATTAGGAGCACATACAAATGACGTCTTGGAAACATCATCATGTTAGTTTTTCTGCCATTAAATCAGTCTCAGTATGGCTCTTGCTAGCAATACAAACAGCTAATTTTCCCATCACAAATGGTAGACATAACTTCTAATAACTTAAGGCAAAGTCCAACGCATACAATAAGATGATACAATAAATGTGTGTAAAAATACTTTGACAAAAATAACTAAAGCAGGTGTAAGGGAGAGTCTGTTGCTGTCCTCCGCTATATTGGGAATCATTGTTCATGCCCATGTTGTACTTATTTTTTTTTTCTTGTGTGTTTTTACAGTTCACTTATTGACTGTAAAGCACTCTCATGTGGGATAGGAGAAGCAGTCCCTGATGCACCTTTTTTTAGCCATTTTTTGACTGCCGGCACAACAGCAAAACTCAAGCGCACTCGCACAGTAGCTGGTGTTGGCCACAGCCACAGCTCAGGCCCCGCCTCTTAGAGGCACATGCACCGATGCTACAATGCATACATTATTTTCTAAACATTTTATACTTGCAATTATTTTTTTTTGTGTTCAAAAACATTGACAATGTGTTTAAAAAGTGTGTTTCAATAACTTTAAATGTGTTTTGAAAATGACCTAATTTCTCCTGTCCACCATTATGCTTATTGACTTGTTTACCCTAATTTCTGTTAGGTAACGTCTTTCCTTTTTTTCAGCAGATATCTGGAATGAGCAGTCATTCCAAACGGACCCAGATCTGCCGCCTGGATGGAAAAAGATCACAGACATGGCGGGTATCTACTACTGGCACATTCCCACGGGCGCTACCCAATGGGAGAGACCCGCCACCCACCTTACACCCCATGGACAGACAGAGCCCGACGCACCTGATGACCACAAATGCTCGACACCACGTAAACAATCCCTTGGTTCACTCAGCCCCTCCCCCACTCCTGACCAAGAGGTGAGAAAATGGAGAAAGCAAACATGTATGCCAAGTTACCCTTGTTTTAGACAAACCTCTCATTTAATTCTCCTTTGTGGTTGAAATAATGATCAACATCTGGTATGAGGAAACCTGACAAATGAAGTTTAAAGCTTATTGCAAAGTAATCGGCAGAAAATGGATAGGCCTTTGAGGAATATTAAATGCCATGAGGAAAATTATTGTCTCGTAGTTTTGGCTTCTGATCGCTATTAGTCAACTGTGCATGCAGTGAACTGAAAGTAGTTCCTGATATTCATCATTCTTCCACAGTATACAAAAGAATATGTTTGGATGTGTGAAATCATATTTTCATGACTCATAACATTAGGCATACAAGCACAATCTAAGCTCCAATGCAAGAGCTCATTATGCTTCTATATAGATGAGAATGGTGGTTGTAAGTCACTGCACCGCATCTTACCGAGAGCTGGGTCTTATATTTCGGAGTCCTTATTTAATGACGGTAAACCTCCACCTTTTTGCGATTTGACGGATTCACGGATTGAGCAATTTAAAAATGAAATAAATGCACATATTTTCAGGTTGATGTCATTTTTCTATTTTGCCCCAAGATGCCACACTCTGACTCAGAGCAAAATTAGTAATTTGTGTTGTATGTGTGTCTGTGCCAACTCTCTTGGCTGATGATTTTTGTCGGTTACGTAGGAGCTTGTGTATTTAGCTCGGGAGGTTAGCGGAAATAATGGAGTCTCTGCCTCGTGTATGGTTTTGCGCTGCTGAGTGGCCATTAACCCCTTAAACCAGGCTCAAGCTAACAAATGACAAAGGTCCCGTTTAGTACTTGTCAACTGGTGTTATCTGATTGTGCAGCGGTGACTTCCGGTGCCACTTTGCTGAATAAACAATCTATAAGCCATTTTTAAGGGGAATCTCGTGAAATGAGTTTTATATGATATTTAAGTGTTCTGGGTCGATTAGTTTGTGGTATAGTTATGGCTACTTTAAACTATTTATACAGGCAATTACGAATTTTTTTTTTTTTTTTTTTTTACGGGGCTTCAACTACTTGCAGAGAAGGTCATCCCTTATTCCCCACAAATCGTGGGCGATAGATTAGAGCGGCAACATATTTTCAATGATTCTCAGTTCTATGCAGTGCAATTCTACACTCCTCTACACTAAAATCATAAATACATTATAAAATATGACCTTGTCGATCAAAAACTGACCACTATGTTATGATTGTATATGATTGTGCAGTTTTACTTCATAATTTGGTGAGTGAGTGTTTGCATTTAAGACTTCTCGGGAGATATCCGCTGACCTCTCCCCACTTTGCTTTTGCTTGTGCATGTGTTTACCTTTTTTTGTATGTGTGTCTGTAGTTATGTCAGGCCGAGGTCTTCTTCAGGGGTTCCACCCGCTCTGGGAGCACCACCTCAGACAGCTCAGTGGAGCCTCTCCACGAACACATTCTGCCAACATGCGGATTTGTCAACAGCTGCTATTTTGTAAGTCAACCTGCACGCGCCTCTTTTCTTGGCCTTGATGGACACGGTCTGAACATGCGGTGAGAATTAGTCTTCATGACCCGATCTCTAGTTTCCTGTATACCTGACAACAAGAAACAACCTCACAAGGCAGGCGAGCAATGAGAGAGAAGACTGTCAATAATCCAGTGGCGGAGTAGAATACAAGAAGAGTCAGACAATCAATCAGTCAGTCATGCAGAATGATGGATCGTCACGGAGAGGAAAGTAGATTGATAGAGAGCTGGTAGATAAAACATTGACTTAGATGGGATTGACTGAGGTTGGCAGATAGATGGGCCACGATCCATCCAAGCACATCCATCTGGTGGAGGTGTCAATGTTTTCTGCCTCGCATTTCAAGGCACCTGCGCGTGCTACATTTAGCCGCTTCATTTCACGATGTTAGCATAGAAACCGAATTTTGAAAAGCGATTCAAAGGTTTTTACGATCTAGCCATGGCTACGGCTGTTTCAATCAGTATAATTCCACATTTCTGCTCCGTATCTGACGTGCTTGACTAGCGCAGGACAGAGCAGATGACCAGATTGACAGAAAATTTTTACTTGTCGAACCTTCATTTGTTGACATTTGTGTGCATCACAGCCGTATCGCACACACCTCCCACCTCCTGAGTTAATGGTCAGGCAGTGTGGCAGCTGTTGAATCTCTGAAGTTATCATTTTTATTTTATTTTATTTTTTTGTCACTCAGTACTATTTTACCTATTTTCTTCTTTTGAAAGAATGCGTCTCATTTGTATGCCTTTTTTTCTGTATAGCCCCGATCTACATCGCTACAGGGGATGTCAGATCAAGAGTGCACCCCCCTGCATCAAGAAGACAAGGTGTGAAAAGTTTCTCTTATGGCCCTTTTTTTCAAATCTTCTCCAGTCATTGAAATTCTTGCTGATTGTCATGTATTTTCATATTTTACTAATTCTACATGGAACGGTGAATGTTCAATAGGAGCAAGGAACTTTTTGGAGCTTAACAGTTTTTCCTGGAGTTGCTCCTCATTGTAACAAACACCGGTGTGCAGTGAGCAAGTTAGTTAACAGCTTTGTTCTGTCTCTCTCTCCTTGACTCCCCCTCTCAACCTTGACCCCCCCAACTATATATGCACTTGTGTTTTAAACGCCATTTGTAGAAACACATGTGGGGTGATTTTGGCGGAAAGATTGATAGTGAGGTGTGGAAGGCAAGTATCATGCATTTATTGAGCCTTATCGCCACCTCAAACTGTGATTGTGTGGATTAATTATCATTAGATGCTCCGCATTAACTGCCTGGACAGCATGTGCGAGCTGCAGCTCTAACATCAACCGGACGAGCACAGTATTGTTATATGCTTGATGAGCAGAAACATCTCGCAGCTGCAGCACCACACTTGTCTTTCTTGTCTGTTCACTCAACCTTCTTCCTGCTGCATAGAAATGAATGTGTTTGCGCAGACTGTTTGTACATACGACGCAAACTCCCTTTGCTTGATGTCTGAGCATGTCCTGTTACACAAAAGTGCATCATTGCCATCCCTCCATCCAGCCAGAGCACTCTGCTATGCACTTTGGATGCATGTTTGAATTGAATGTTTAATGGTTTGTGACAATTTTTTGTCCTTTTAGCCCTTCTTCCACATGCACGCGGTAGCCTTTTACATGTGATGTACAATATTGACATCAAATTGCATTATGGCCTATTTACAACCGATGCACTGCAAATTAGGGGTTGACCTATCTGATGCTTCGTCTTCAGCAATCCGCAACGTCGCTTAGAGCTTGAAGTTGATTCATCGACAATCACGTTTTGACGACCTGGGTCCATGGATCAAAATCAATTAATGTAAAAATGAGATCGGGAGCACAGTCCCTTGCAAAATATGCTCTTCTATCCTCAAAAATAAGAAAGGCACCTGCTAACACTGTCAGTCGAACAGCCTAAATCCTCACACCAGCCCTCAATGCCCTCCTATTACAGAGACATTAAATACATTATTATTAATATTAAATATTATTATTATTTTACAGCAATTAGCTTCCCGTGGTTCGTTGTAACGAGGGCCTTTTGTAGGAAAAAGCTGGTCATTATAATGAAGTTTACGTTATAATAAAGGTGTTGGTTGTAAGCAAAATTGGCAAATGGAAAATGACTTACATGAAATCAGAACTTTGAAATGTAAACATTATAGCTGTGGAAATGTTCTAAACGGGGTTCGACTATATGATGAGGATGGAGCCAGAGGGACTAAGAGAAAGTTGATAGATGTCGTGACGGAAGAAGACATGAGGGCAGTTGGTGTTCGAGAGGAGGATGAAGGAGGAAGGAGGAAGGCGGAGATGGAAAAGGATGATGCGCTGTGGCAACCTTTAACAAAATGAGACGAGCCGGAAGGAAAAGAAGATGATTAGAAAAACAAAACACAAAAATAGACTGTTCTGTGAGGCAGATGTTTGGAGATGCAGAAACACAGTTGTTCTTTTTGGAAATATTTTGAAACTTGACCCAATGTTTTTCTAAACGTATAAAGAAATATTTGTTCATGGGTTTCCAAAGAAGTGGGGAAAACACAACATAAAAAGCTTGACTTAGGCTTTCTCTATTCATGCACCAGAGAGTTAAGGATAATAACTGACCTCACCACACAATATTCGTGGTTCCATATGTGAAGAGGGCTTTTAGGTCTTATGTGAGTTTTGGTTGTTGTCCTACATTCTGACTAGAATGTTTCTACACACCAGGACTTGCAGGCGGCCACGGTGAACCCTGACCCCAGCTTAAAGGAGTTTGAGGGTGCAACGCTTCGCTATGCATCACTAAAGTTAAGGTAAAATCACATCAATTTTGCCTAACCATCATAGTTTTAAATTCTCTCTCTGCTCTTGTGACTCAATTACACAATGCTTCACCTGCATCTGGTTAGTTTCTCCTATCTAGTGTTTAATCGCTGTTAAATAACTTCCGACGAAGCAGGAAATGTACTCTCCCAGTCAGGAAATGGATGTCTGTTAGTGAAATGACTGCTCTGGTGGATTTGTTCAGCGGAGCTAAATGGTCGCCACAACAACACTCCATTGCTAATCTTATAACAGCATCACTCCATTCCATAGCTTCTTTTGATGTTCTTTCCAGGAACCGTCCAGCAGTGGAAGAAGACGACTCGAGCAGCGGCAACAGTGATCCACAATCAAAGGTAAAGACTTAGTTTACCAAACCGAGCCTTCGAAGATGTGTTTGATAGCACCACCTAGTGGTGATAACAAACATTAGCGGCACTTGCTTCCTGTCTGCATTTATTTGCTCTTTCTGACTGTTCAATCGATTCAAGACATGTAATCCATCTTTTAATGCCGCCACTATCACGTAGCAATTAAAGAAGACACAAAAATGCAATATAATAGCACAGAACTGTTCATCATCTGCAGTGAGTTTAGAATCAATATGTACAAAACCCGTTTTCATAAACATATACAGTATTTGTCAGAGATGCTGATTATAATTCTTAAATGTAATGTGTGCAGATTGTCATAGGAAGTCAGGACAGGCCGACTTGAAGGAGGTTATTACAAGAAGATCATTATCAGGATTAGAAAACGGGTTTATTTGCACACTGGAACTACTGCACTTGTCTGACATGCTTACTGAACAGAAAGATAAACAGTGCCATCTGCTGGATATGATACTGCACTGCTTCCCCTGCTCCAAATGCAGAGTCACCATGCAGTGATGTCCAGCCACCATTATATTTGGAAAAGTGGAATTGTCGACACAGTCCTGGACTCGTTTTAGTGACTTACAAGACAAATTATTTTCTTTTGAATAGTTTTGAGTGTCTACTTTATATAGCCTATGTACCTGCAATGAATGTTAGAGTAAAGAGTGAGACAGACGCTCAATGGGCCCTCTCACCCAAACATCCCTGCATTGAAAATGTGGAGTGCACTTTGTGTTCCATAAATAAAACACAATGCTCTACTTTATAAACCGGGTCAACCATTGCACACTTTGCAGAAGTACATCCGTTGTTTGCATTTTTATCGTGTAGCTCTCCTATCTGCAGAGATGTTTGCACTAGTCTGTTGATTGCTGACATGCCCATTTTAACCGTTAATTACTCCAAGTAATTCAGAGAAAGGATGTAAAACTGCAAGATGATCATCTCTCTTGTTTGGGATTGTGGCCATTTGTTGGAGCGGTTTGGACAAGGTGACAGAGTCCCGTCTGACCGGGCAATAAATATTTGATGGAGACGTGGCTCGCTCTATTTGTCATCTCCTGTCTGGATCAGCCAGGTTGAACGTTTGTCTCCCCCTGATTGTATTGTGGAACTGATATTATTTGCATCAGGGGTGAACGTATACCTATAACAATGAAAGCAAATTTGACAAAAGTTCTGAAGTCCTTTTTTTTTTGTTTGTTGTTGTTTTTTTTTTTTTTTTTTTTTTTATTTTAAATCTGACTCGCTGTCAAATTGCTGCTTTTTGTGAAGTGACCTGCGTTCAATGCGCCGTATCTAAAATGTCTACCTGCGGGTGAAAGCACAAACATTGACCCAAACAACGGTTCTTATCTCAAAAAACGCATAAATCGGGTCACTTGTATCTCAAAGCGCGACTTGAGCGAAAATTGAATCTGTGGAGGGGGGAAAAAAATGACTTCGTGTGGGCTATTAGAGTGGGGCAAAAAACAAAGGCAGGCATAGGGAAGGCAACCCAATTAAAAAGGATGCTGGCATTCTCTTTCGTTGTCATTCGAGTCGGTGCGGACTTGAACGCTGCCTGCTTTTCAGAGCTCGTCTGCTAGAGCGACGAGGAGGGCTTCACAGCTGAGGCTCGGCGTCACGCGGTGCCGATCATTGTCCCCCTCACACTTTCTAACGAGCCATTTCACAACATCCACACAACGGACCTCGCCACGCAGCAGCAGCAGCAGCAGCAGCAGCCCCCGCCC